AATATAAAAACACAGAATGCAAAAAGATTCCCTTCAGGCAATTGCAGTTCCTTTTGCACACAATATGATTTACAAGCGGCTCCAGTTGCCATTCTTGCGCGGTCGAGGCCTTTCAAAGTGAAGTGACAGCACCGTGAGTGATTTATATTTTTTTTTTTTATTGGAAAAAAAAAGATATTTATTGTTTCAAATATTACAAGTCCAGCCAAGCCCGAAGGCTTATCGGCTGGTGCTCATTCTGACTGATGACCGCAAGCGGCCATCAGCTGCTACACTTAGTGCACATTATTACACATTTTTCATAATATTTTTTAATTCAGGTGCAAAAACAATTTTTTTATTTTATATTTTACATCATTTTTGTTTGTTAAATTTTTTAATTCATTTGGCAAGGAGTTCCATAAACGGGGTAACAGATATTCTGAAGTTCGATTAAAGTACTTGTTTTTCCGCCATCGGTTCAATTAGCGGATTAGATTGCAACATTCTCGTATTGTATGAGTGGGTATATGGGACACCATGATTCGAGTCAAAATATTTCACATTTATCAAATTGAGTTCAAATATTTTATCAACAGGCAAAACATTCCAAAACTTAAATTGGTTTTCTATTGTTCGCTTCTGCTTTCTTGAGCACATTTTGTACAAAATTTTTTCTTGGAGCGACTTTATCGCAGTAAGGTTCACAGAACCCCACGCTGTTATTCCATAATTTAAGTATGAGTGAGCAAGGGAAAAATACATATGTATTTGCAAAAGTACTGCGAAAACGGCCGCAATAAAAAAAAAGTGGAGCAAAATAGAGTTTATGATAAAATAGGGTGCGGATTTTGAGGAGTCAAAATTGCGACGCCAACACATTATGTATTATTGCTGCGAGTGCAGGTCGTATAAAAAAGAACAAAATTAAACTCGGCCCGGGGCAGAGAACTCGTAAAAAAGAGCGACACATTTCCCTTGTGCTTGCACATACGTCTTTCATCCCAGCAGATCTGCCAAAATTGTGTTGGTTTTGCATTTCAAATGCGCAATTTAAATCTAAATGCATTTCTCACAAAGTTATTTAAACATTGGAAGATCTTATTTTAAAGAGAGGCTTTCGCTAAATGTTTCTTTTGAGAATATTCAAGTAAAAATCGGTGCAAGTAAAATTGACCATAAAAAAATCACCACGTTCATATCAGAGCAATTAAGATGGAAAAGTAAAATCAATAAGGCAGTCTAAATACATAAATTTACATTTATTATAAAAGGTAAATTTGAAAAATCAGTGTTGAATTAGAAGCTCATTGTTAAATGTCAAAAAGGAAAATAATAAATACGCAATCTTCATTTTCCTCCTGGGCAAGTGAAAACATTTCCGATTTGAATAAAGCCAGTAGATTTTTTGCTTACATATTCAGTGAGCAGGAAAATTTTCAATTCAATCAATTTTTTACAACCAATTTTCCAAATTTTAATGAAAAATAAGACCTAAACAAGGTAAATTACATGCTTCACTTGTAAACAAAAAGCACATTAAAACACAACTTGATAATTTCTTTGTTGGCCTGACCAGACTTTAATTTAATAAAACGGAGGAAGGATGGTTTCAATTATTATTTACACAACAGTACACACAAAAGATCACCTGCAGCTCTGTAGAATTAGTTTTTTTTTGTAGCTTTTAAAGATCCACTTTCCTCTTTTCATATCAAATTAATTAAACGTCCGAATCATGTTTTTAATTAATTTCCCCGGGCATATTTAAATTTTGTTAATTTAAATGATTCCAAATAATTGAATTCATAAGGACGGAAAAAAACTACAAATTTACCTAGTAAATAATTGGGATTTATGAATGTTTTAAAAAATTGACATCATCCTTTGAAATTCAAAATTAATACAAATCAAATTATAAAGTCTCGTTTATTTTGATTGAATGAGCTCAAAGTTTGAAGAAATCTGTTAGGTGGAGAGGCAAGAAGGCAGTTTTACTTAATCCAGTGCTTATATTATTGCTGTGGCCGCCGCGCACGGGGGGCCGAGACTTGCCAAAAACATTCCCCTGAGTGCTGCTCACATCGAGTGAAATGAGCACTCGCTGGCCCGTGCACAGCCAATTTCCGCGCACAGCAATTTCGTTAATCACTGGCTTAGACCGCCTGCAACTAGTCGATCCGCCTCCCCATCCCACATTTCACCCTTAAGCCGCTCTCTCCGGCTCTATCGAGTCGAGAGTCGCCGGCCCCTTTAAATACCCCGTATCAAAAATTTTTTAGTGCCACTGGTGGCGAAAAACCACCCCCAAGATTATGGGCCGCGGGGGTGTATCGAGTTTATTAAAAGCGGCGGCGGCTTTATTATGTGCTCGGCCGAAAATTCAATTTCCTAGACAGCGAAGGAGGGAGCAATTTTCGTTTTAATTAGACGGCCTCGAAATTTCTCGACATCTCCGAGGGAATTTTCAACGGAATTGGCGACCAAATTTATACCTCGGGAGATATTCCGATTGTGATCTCCGCAGGTTCATTCACAAATTTAGCAGCGATTAGCGTCAAAAATTGTGGAATTTCCCTTCTTTTTTTATGCCTCTTAATTTCCTTTTCTCAGCATCCAAACGTGATTTGGAGAACTTCGTGAAATATTTATGTCGGCTCATTTCCCGAGGAATGGTGACACGTTGGAATGCGATGGCTCGAGGCTTCGCGTCTCGGCACCTTATAAAATACCTGCAGGGTGTTGCTGCTTTATTTAGCTCAATGACATTCCACTCGCGGTGATTCATTACCACCTTCGCCTCTCTAAGCGCACAAATAGTTTTCTATTAATTAATCTTGTTTGTAAATAAAACATGATTTATACGAATGCGACGTGCCTGTTGACGGAAAGCAAAAGTTATAAAGAATTTCCGCCCTTGATTCAGGTAATGAAACAATTCTTTATAATAAAGAATAAATCACTTGCAATCAAATGGAGTAATTAAAATTAAATTAATTAAAAATATAATACAAGTACAGCAGAAAATGAAGATAATAAATCTTAAAAAATACTTTGTGCACTAAAATAAATGATTCATGATTTATTTTTAACAAATAAACATGATCCAATTTATCAGTTGTTATGTTTTAGTTGAAAAAATATTGTCATTCATTCAAATAATTGTTCACAAAACAATAATTCATTAGAGATTTTTGTTTCAATTTACAATCTAAATTGCAAGTTTCGTTTGTTTAGTCTGAGACATTCCTGATTCCCAAGCAGATTGAATTTTACTTTTTCTGCACTCTTGGTTTTTCTTCTTCTTTTGTTTTTTATTTTTTTCAGCTCCCCCGAGCGTGCGAGAGCAATTTGAGAAAAGCGTGGTGCGCATTGCTTAAAAATTCAAAAGCGTCGCTCGCACTCTTTGAATAAAGCACGAGAATTAAAGCAAATGTGTCCAGGCCATTAGGTTTTAAGAGCAAGAGACGCGCGCCCTTCTCTTGAGGTCCAAGGTATACATCCAGGCCATAATCATTTAAGGGAGGAGCTGCAGCAGCTTTAATGCCTAGCAAGGGGACTTGGACTTTTATTACACTTCAGGCCAGAGACGAATCACCCCGTAAGTATACACTTGATATTCACGCGCCATATCATTTTCCAAATGAGTCGCGCAAGTAATTTGGAGCGAAAATAATAAATTAAAGTAACAAAAAATTATCTTATTTGTAAATACAATCCATTTATTTTTATCATTCCCTCTATTTGTAATGAAAAAACACAATTGAAGAAAAATTATAAATAAAAAGTTTAATATTTCTGATATTGTTGCCAATTGAAATTATTATTTTTTTTTAAATTTACATGAATTATAATTAGAAATTTTCAATAATTATCAATTTTATAGTATGGAAAAATTAAATAGATTAAAATTGATTGCTCAGATTGCTGGAAAATAAGCTTTCGTTTTTGATAACAATGAAAATCAGGGCTGCGTGTCAAGATAAGAGCGCGGATTGAATTAATTCCCATATCAGCTGATTTTCGCACAGGCCGCCGCAATAAATCCTTTTATAAAATTTTGATAACGATGTGTGTGTGATGAATATAGGGTCTCTGTGTTAATTAGCAACTTTGACCCGAGGCCGTGCGCGCAAAACCGCCGGAATTTAATTTGCGAAAACAATATGGCCGTCGTAAGCCATTGTTTGTTTTCTGCCGATGACGCAACAGGCCCTGCACCTTTAAATCAAAGCACTCGACTTTGTCCGAAATGTTATTCATTCGAAATTGTCTGCCGCCGGTTGTGTACTTCTAATTTGGAGGTACGAGAGGAATTACACGGGATTAACGCACTTGACCTGTCCCTGCCTCTCTAATGTTCGCCTCCGCTTCCAATTAAAATCCGTCACTGCACCCGCGTCAAGCACTTGTGTTAATTACTCGTCCAAGGGCAGTGCCAAACGCTCAATTACTTCCTAATTCGAAAACTTTTGAGCACCTCATCCTAATGATTCACTGCTCGCCCCTTTCAATTAAATAATTTACAAAATTCTGCAAATCAAGAAATTAGGCAGAAAATTAAATAACGTTTGATTTGAATTGCAAAAGGAAATTACTTGGAAATATAAAAATATTTGCCTAGATAACATCAAAGGAGGGGATTTTTGTAATTATAAATGCAAATAGTTAGCAAAGAGGAAACGTAATCGCTCTTGTTGAACCGCGATTGCTGTTTGCAGCTTTTGCACTATGACCCAGCAGCCGTCATTGACGAGGAAAACCAAACCAAACACGTGATTTACAATTTAAGATTAGTAAATAAACAATTCTAATTTAGTTTATAGTTCTCTGGCAGTTTATTCACTTTCTTTTCCCAAAACCAATATGTTTTTAGCTTTGATTTATCAATGAACTGCTTTGAAATAATTTTAATCAGTGCAATGGAGACTTGACAAAAATTGATTGATAAACGGTGATTGTTTTCCTGCTCGTCTGATTCCTTTATTGGCAGGGCCAAAGGGCGCAGTAATAAAAGTTGGGCATAAAATGCTTTGGCGAGTTGAGAGCAGCTCACAAGTGCACAAAGACCGAGCATGACTCGATTCATTTTGCTGCTCGTTTTGCTCGTCGCCGCCGCCCTGGCCAACCAATCTACAACCGAGGTAGGAAAAATTTCTGTGTTTTCAATAGTCATGGCCATGGGAGAAAAATTAAAACAAAGTATGCTTTATTGTTATTGGTTCAAATAAAGTATGAAAAATGGCAACAACCAAAGCTGATTAAAAATATTGATTCACGTCAAATCTTTTGATAAAAATTTTCAATGAATATTCTGTTAAAATACAGCAATTTTATATTTTCAGCCTCAAGAATCAGAGTTTCAAAAGGAAATCTTGAAGTTTTTCAACAAAACTAATGAATCGCTGAACTGGTTGACGAGACGCGCCTACGAGCAGGTTCAAATATCAATTCTTTAACTATTTTGTGATAAATTGAATGGAAACGAGGTTTGCCCGGTTTCAATTTTCATTTTTTTTTTTGTGATAATACCAATTAATTAACTTTCTCCTGAAACTGAAGGACGACCAAATGATAATTTTAAACGCAACATACTACCGACTGGACCAAATGGCCAAAAATGCTGACCGGCGCATCAGTCAGGTACAAAATTTAGGTTTTAAAAAACCCTAAAAAATATTTTGATGTATAAAATTCATAATGGCACATGAAAATTTGTCGATCTCCTCTTGTTGGTATTAAAAAGATTTTAATCTCGTATCAGGTACGATGGAAACGGTGAAATTAAATAAGGAGCTGGTGGAAATTTTGAATTTGAAAATATAATACTTTTGTTTGGAAGCAGGTCAATGAGGAAAGGAAGAAGGACAGAGAGCAACTGGAGGCTTTGGTAAATCTTACCGAGCGCCACATTAAGGTTCAATGCTAATTATTTATTATTCTACAAGAAGCTTTTTCATTTTAAAAACAAAATGTCGCTGTTTCCAGTCCATTCAAAATAGATTCGTACCGTACTGCAAAGTCGCACGTATGATCATCAAATGAGAAATTTAAATATGAGAAAATCGATTGCAAATTTGCAGGATCGTCAAACTTGAAGTTGCTGTTGAACGGAAAGATGTACTTGTTTTCTCACCAAAATAAAGCAAGCATCTCGCATAGCCGCAAATTTTTTTTAATTATTCTTCAACAGGGAAACTGGAATTACGCAAATGAGATTTGCACCGAAAAAAACCTCCATTTGGCCATAATCAGAAATCAAAAGGACGCTCAGGAGGTTGTGGCAGAAGCAAAAAGAATTATTTCTAGTGAGAAGCCAAATATATGGAGGAAATTTTTTAATTTTCTGCGTTCAGGTCATTCTTGGTGGGTTTCGGCGAAAAACCAAGGAAGTGGAGGTCGAAAGGACTTCCGGTGGAACGACGAGACCAAATTGGAGTTGGACAGTCCGTTGTGGTGGGACGAGGCGGACAAGACACAGAACTGCGTCCGCATCTATGATTGGCCCAACGGAAAATTGAATAGCCTTGAATGCACAGATTTTCGGCCTTTCATTTGTGAACTGCCAAACGAATGCTATTGAAATCAATTTTGAATATCGCCACAATCAATTAAGCTTTTGTATGCAGTGAGAAGCCAACAATAAACACAATTTGCTGAATAGTTCTGCGATTCTTGAAAATATCTTAATTTTACTTTCCCCATTTTATCATAGAACAAATTTGGTGAACAGAAATTTTCGGCACATTTAATTTTCAACATTTACTCCCCTCATGGTCGTACCAAAAATACTGCCGTATTGAAGTATGTTATTCATCCTGTTAAAATATTAATTTATAAGTTCGTCATTAAACACGAAATATAAAAAAAACGAACTCAAACTTTAAAAAATTTGCTCAATTTTTTAAAGATTATTATCTTCCACAAGCTTCATTCATAATGGTAAAACGTGCGGATAATATTCCCCAAAGGAAAGTTAAATTATTAAAACAATTTCCAACATGAAAATAAATAATTGCCGAATTCGGATTGTGAGGAGGAAAAATAATTATTCTCAAGAGGGAAAATAAATTCAAACACGTGTGGAGGAATTACGAAAAAAAAATTCCCAAAAGTCCGAATTCTTTGGCAGATTTTTATTTTTCAATCACATTCATTTTTTAGATATTTTATACCTTCCAGTCAATCCTTGTAAAATTTGCAATTCAATTTTGAAGCAAAAAAAAAAATGTAATCCATCCAGAGCAGACTTGAGTAAAATTGGATGATTAAGTTGTTTGTTTTCCTGCTCATCTGATTTTTTGATATGAGGGGGCAGAGGGCAGTGATAAAAGGCGCTGACAAATTCAGAGATTGACACACAAGCGCAAAGACCGACCATGGCTCGCATCTTTTTGCTGCTCGTTTTGCTCGTCGCCGCCGCCCTGGCCAACGAATCTCCAACCGAGGTACTTAAGAAAATTCGTTTACTTAATTGTGTTCACTTGGCGAGAGCAAAATATACCTTTTAATGTTTAAAACAAACGAAACGGGGTTTTCAATGTATTGTGAGAACATTTTTAAACTAATTTGCAATGAAAATATAAAATGATGGCAAAATATTTTACCATAAAATAGCAATTGTAATTATTTTTAGCCACAAGAATTGGAGTTTCGACAGGAAATCTTGAGGAGATTCGACAAAACGGATGAAACGCTGAAGCGGTTGATGAAACACGTCTACGATCAGGTTTGAATTTTAATTCTTACTATTTTGTGATTTTACAAAATAAATAATTGGTCGTTTTTTTATTTTTTTACTTTTTGCGAGACCTGCAGGCTGTGGAGTCGCGGAAGGTGGCGGAGCAGCAAAATGAGGAGTTGATCAAATCTTCCAACGCGACCAACGACCGATTCGACCAACTGGCTCAAATTGTAGATCAACGCCTTAATCAGGTACAAATTTTTTTACGCTCATTCTTCCTTTTTTTATCACATTATTTGTTAAACTGAAGCTAACAGGAAAGTAAACGAAATTATTTATAATCGCAAATTTCGTGGCAATGAGAAATAAAATTTAAATAATGAATTATTTATGAACGTGCAGATTGGTGTAGATTTAATTCACGCCTATGTGATCTTCCTATATTTTAAAACGCTCTAACATATCATCAAGTCCCGAATGAAAACCATCAAGAGGATCGAAAGAAATTTTTTAAGGAAGTTAATCTTTTTAATTTTGTTTTGCAGATTCTGGAAAGCGTGAAGCAGGTCGAGGAGGAGAGGAAGAACGACAGAGAGCAACTGGAACGCCACATTCTGGTTGAATTCAAATTATTTTTACAAAACTTTTATTGAGGCACAAATGATTTCAGGATTTTCAGACCAGATTCCCACCGCACTGCAAACTCACAAGTATGAAAGATTTTCAAAATCATAACAAAAAGTTTATTAAAAAACCTTATCGCTTCTCAAAAACAAATAATGAGTCCATAAATTTTAGGATCGTCAAACTTGACGTTACTTTCCAATGGCAAGAAGTACTTTTTTTCTTACCCAATCCGCGTAATTCTCACCATCAGCTGGCAGCTTCTTTGAATTTTTCTAATTTTTCTTCAACAGGCCCAATGGGCTTCTGCAAAAGAGTTGTGCACCGAAAAAGGCCTCCACTTGGCCACAATCACAGATCAAAATGACGCTCAGGTGGTCGCGGCAGAAGGAAAAAGAATCGTTTCTAGTGAGATTGAAAACACCAGAACTTTTCTTGAATCAAACCAAAGAAATTTATCATGCCCTGCATGTCTTCTACAAAAATATTTTCCACATTAAGTAATTAAATTCACCCAACACACAGATCTGGCTGAATGGTCCTGCCAAAGCCATAATCAATATCAACAACAACAACAACAACAACAACAACAATTGAATCAAAATTATTTTGCTTTCAGATAAAGGTTGGTGGGTTTCTGCGAATGCCATAGAAAGTGGAAGTGGAAAGGACTTCCAGTGGCACGACGGGACCCAGTTGAGGTTGGACAGTCCGTTGTGGACGGACAATGGGGATAAGACAAAGGACTGCGTTCGCATCTTTGATTGGTCCGACGGAAAATTGGATGGCTTTGAATGCACCAATTATCATCATTTCATTTGTGAAATGCCAAACGAATGCTATTGTAATCAATCTTGATTATCGCCACAATCAATTAATAAGCTTTTGTATGCAGTGAGAAGCCAACAATAAACTCAATTTGCTGAATAGTTTTGCGATTTTTGAAAATAACTTAATTTTATTTCGATTTTCCCATTTTTTTTCATGGAATAAATTTGGAGATTTCCGCACTTCATTTTAAATATTGAAATATTTTATTGCTTCTGTTACAATATAACACTTCATCATTAAATACAAACTATAAAACGAACCAAATTTCTAAAAAAAATTGTATTTCATTAATTTTATTATAAGATTATTATCTACCTTAAGCTTCATTCAAAATGGTGAAACGTGCGGTTAATATTCCCAAATGAAACGTAAATTTACTAAAAAAATTTGTCCTACATGAAAACAAATATATTACCAAATTTAGATTGTAAGGAGAAAAAGAATCGCGCACGTCATTCGTTGAACCGCGATTGCCCTTTGCATTTTGACCAAGTCATCATTCAAGGGAAAAATAAATTCCATACACGTGTAGACAAAAATTAGGGGAAAAAAACAATTATTTTCCAAGTCCCAATTCTTTGGCAGATTTTTCATTTTGCAAAAAAACAAAATAAAAACTTTCGTAAAATTTCCAATTCAATTTTAAAGTCAAAATATTGGCACAAAAAATTTAATTATTTAAGATAGTTTAGTGATAAGGTTTTTTGTTTACTTGCTGGTCTGACTTTTTGATATGTGGGAGCAGGGGGCAGTGATAAAAGGCGTTGGCAAATTCGGAGATCGACACACATGCAAGTGCAAAGACCGACCATGGCTCGCATCTTTTTGCTGCTCGTTTTGCTCGTCGCCGCCGCCCAGGCCAACGAATCTCCAACCGAGGTACTACTTAATTTTATTATTCACTCGGCGATCTTGAAATATACATCTTAGAAAAATGTGCTTCGTTTAAAAAATAAACTAGAATTTATCAATTCCGATTTAAATTGTTCATTTAAAAAAGCGCATCAACCAAAGACGCTTAACAATATTGATAAAATCTCTTAGAACAATTGTTTTTTAATCAATTAGGGCTGAATTTCCTAGAAATTATTTTAAATATTTGTTTATCAAATTGTAAAAATGACCTTTACTATTTTCAGCCACAAGAATCGCAGTTTCGGCGAGAAATCTTAACGTATTTGAACAAAACAGACGAAAAGCTGACACAGTTGATGAAAATGGTCTTCGAACAGGTGCAAATTCAAATTCTTATTTTATTATAAAAGCTCCATCAATTTCACCAATTTTCTTATTTTGTGAACTTTTCAGGCTGTTGAGGCTCAGAAGGCGGCGGAAGATCAAAAGCGGGAATTGATAACATTTTCCAACGCGACCAACGACCGATTCGACCAACTGGCTAAAGCTATCGACCATCTCGACCAGCGCCATAATCAGGTACAAAACTGAATTAATTATTTAAAAATCTAAATGTTTATATTGATATTTTTTAAGACTTAAAATCATTTTGTTCATCTTACCCAGATTTTAGACATAATTGATGTAAAATTATATTAATTTTGATATCAGAAGATGGAGAAAAAATCTTCTATATGACCAACCTTGTCAATGAAATCCGTCGAGAGGACCAGATATATTTAATTTTTGAATAAAATTAAGCTTCATTTTGTACTTTTGCTATGCAGACTCAGGAAAGTGTGAAGCACGTTGAAGAGAATAGGAAGATCGACAGAGAGCAACTGGACTCTTTAGCAAACCTCACCGACAGCCAAATTAAGGTTCATTGAATAAATTTTTCCCACGATTCTTTTATTAAAAAACAATTTCTATCTTTTCAGCTCCTTAAAGTCTCTGCCAAATGCAACGTCGCACGTAGGATTCTTAAATAATATTTGAAAAAATTTGAATGCAAATTTCAACTACCAATTTGATCTAATAAATTTGCAGGTTCGTTCACATCGACTTTGTTGTCCACCGGAAAAAAGTACCTTTTTTCTCTTCCAATGAAGGTAATTCTCAACTCGCAGTTTCTTTGAATTTTGCTAATTTTTCTTCAACAGAAAAACTGGGCTTCTGCAAAAGAGTTTTGCACCGAAAAGAGCCTCCACTTGGCCACGATCAGAGATCAAAATGACGCTCAGGTGGTCGCGGCAGCAGGAAAAAGAATTGTTTCTAGTGAGATGTGGAAAACCCCAGAACTTTTCTCGAATCAAAATTATTCTGCTTTCAGATCAAGGTTGGTGGGTTTCGGCGAGAAACCAAGGCAGTGGAAATCAAACAGACTTCCAGTGGCACGACGGGACCCAGTTGGGGTCGGACAGTCCGTTGTGGACGGACGGTGACAACAAGGCAAAGGACTGCGTTCGCATCTTTGATTGGTCCAGCGGAAATTTGAATAGCTTTGAATGCACTACTGATCTGTTTTTCATCTGCGAGCTGCCAAGCGAATGTTACTGAATTCTATAATTAATTTCTAATGATCGTCGAGGGTGCATCAAAATGTTGTCCCATATTTCTGTAAAAAATTGTGAACAAATTCAGAATCAGAGATGTTATTTCATTTTTCTCATTCTATTGTGAAATAAATTTGCAGGTTTTTTCTAATATCCACTCCTTCTTGAATTAACTACATTTTTCTTCTTCTTTGGCATCTGTCCAAAGTTGATTTCATTTATAAAATAATTCTGTATTATACATTAAAAATTATCATTTGATACAAACAAACAAATTATTTTAAACTCATTGAATTAAAATTAAGTTAAATTACTTCAACATAATGGAATTTTTGATCAGCCCTAGATTCAAGGCATTTTTGCAAAATGTTTTTAAAGCCATTGTCAGTTTTGGTTTGATATTCTAAAATTAAAAACCTTTGACCATTTTTTTAGAGGTTCATACTTCAAGTAAAATTTTCAGCGCTTCCTCAATAATCTAATCATAATTAAACTTCTTACTTCATTAAATTTTGCCACTTGTATAGCTGTGAAATAGGATTACTACGCAGTTGGGCGCCCTTTTACAAATCATAAATAAAAAAACGAATCGACGCTTTTGGTCGCACTCGAGTGCACTTGCCGTTTGTGCACGTGGTGTTGTTTGAATTGCAAGGTGGTGCATTTGTTCATTAGGAATGCACACGGCGAAATGCACAGCGAGCAGTTCAGTGAACTGCTTCAGTTAATAACTAAACCTGCAATCTTCAGCCATTCGAATATACAATATTTTCTGCTGCAAAAATAGTCACGGAGACGTTAAAGATCATTAAGATCAAGTAGAAAAATCGGTTGTAAAATCAAATAAGATTATTTACAGGCAAAATTGAATATTCAATGTAAAAAACCAAAAGCCTCATAAACAGAGGAAATTTGACCGAAAAAATAATAAAATTGTATTTTTACTATAGAAGATATAAATTTTCTGACGAAATATTGATATAGAAAAGGAAATTTATTGTTTTAAATAATATATTTATAACTGAAAACAAAAATTCCGTCATTTTTTTTGCCAGCGATTCTTCACTATAATGTTTCACTTTTAGAAAATGTGGAGTTTCCATGGAAATATCGTCTCACGTTATTTGAAAATTCTTGAAAGATAGAAAGCGGAAAAGATTTGAAGCCTTTCTCTGAATAATGAGCAGCGAAATAGAATGAGTTTGTGCAGAGCACACGTTATTGAAACAACGGCCGGTTGAGAGAGGGAGTCGGTCTGAATCATTAGCGATCTCAACACACACAAAGTCTGTGCGCGAATATGTACGTTTTTATTGCTCATTCGTCCGACGAGACTCCAATTAAGGCAGCGCTGCGGACGAGAGCATAAAAAATAAAGTGAAAGAAAAAAAAGAGACATATTTATAGCGTTGTCGCTGCTTTGGTTACAATTTTATGCTGTGCGTCCGGCTCGTCAGCTCATTATCGCAGTGCAGGTGTACCGCGCGTTGTGCAGGTAATTGCAGCGCGCGGCCGCATCTTGTGCCCGCGACGACCAACATGCATTATTTTCCATTGCTTGTTGTTGCCACGAGAGCTCGTGTAAACGCCAAGCTCGGGTCAAATTTCAAATTGAAACTCTGCCAACTACACTGAACAACACAAAGTGTTTCAAATTTGTTACAGAAAAGGATCGAGCAGAAATTTGAATAGCAACAAAATGAGAAAATAATTCAATGGTTTTTTTTTAATATTAAAAATTTAAATTCATCGGCCCAATGAGAAAATTTATATATGGTTTTCTTTAGATATCGGGTAAAATAATTGATCATCAAATGTGTCGAGAAATTAAATTTATAGGTAATGTATTAAAATTAAGAAGATTTAATTTCAAAAATACCTTCCTGAAGTCAAAATTTAGGTTATAGAATTAATTAAAATCATCTCTCTGAATAAATAACAGCCTGGATTTCAAGATTTTTAAACGTTTTAAACCCATTTGAAAACATAAAACTTAACTAAAACCACCTATTTTGAGAGAAAAATTGCATTAAAATTAAAAAAAAAAATTCTCCTAAAACCAACCCAAAAGAAAACGTTTCAATATTAAAAAAAACCTCCCTTCCCTATATTTTGGCCTATTTTTGTGAACTGAAATCATATTTCTCTCAAAATCATAAGCACAATTTTTGCAGTTATCTTAACTTAGGATATCTACACTGAGAAATAATGTTTACTGAACCGTATAGCTATTGATTTTATTTTTCCATCTCAATGGGGGGTGATATGAGCGTGATTTGGTGAAATTTGTATCAGTTTCCTTGGAACGGTTTCGAGAAAAAAAAATATATTTTTGGAAATTCGCTCAAGAAAGTTCAAAGAATTCAATATTTCTTCCCAATTTACATCTAAAATAAAAACGAAATGCAAACGATTTTCATCAAAATTTATTCGACTGTTTTTATTTTGTTTGAGAATGTTGACATTGTAATTTTTTCAAAATTATTTTTAAAACGATTTAATTTCAATCTTCTTATAAATTATACATCCCTAACATTAAACTTTAAATCAACATGCATTTATAAAATGTTATGTCCTTCTTCAGACGGAATTATTACGAATTTTTCAAAGGAAGCTATGCAACCGTCTCGGCGCCGATGCGTATCAGTTGCATACTGTGAGTGTGATTTTCCGTCCGAGAATTTGCAAACACGCTGCAAACTACAGCATGCACGAACGAGAACACATTCTGCCTTTGCTGTGCTCCAATTTGCGACTAACAAGGGAGGGACGCCGAGTCCATAACAATAAATACGTGATGCGCACACACAAGCACAATAAACAGGTAATATATATAGATTTGAATTCGCGGCGACATAATTGAATCGGCGTGATTAGTCGTATTGTGCTGCATGTGTCGGTCGCTCTGCAGAAGCTTGACACGGACCAAATATTTGCTTGCGATTCTCGCCGTGTTTGGCCAGTTATTATTCGGCCTGCTGAATGGATCATCATTGCCTGCGATTGTATGTATTTTGCCTTCCAGGCATTTAAGCCAATCACAAATTGACAGTTCACTGCAAGCCCAACAAATGTTTCTCTACCAAAATGGATTTATTTTATTTGTTTATTTTAAAAATTACTTTTTTTCAATTTTGAAGTAAATATTTAATAAAAAAAAAATATACTGAATTTTTAAAGGAAAAAATAGAATAATTGTGAAATGAAATTATTAGTTCAATCAAAGTTAAAATGAAAAGTTTTTTGTTTTAAAAACAATTTTGTCCAGATTGAAGAACATGCTTTTTGTTAATTATAGGAATTCGCGTGTTTTTTGCTGGTATTATAAATGACGACATGCAGCGATAAGTCAGGCCCGTACATAAGAAAAATTCACAACACTCTCATGACCCAGCAGCAGGAAAATTTGCATTTTTAAGGGCCGCAAAGCCATTACACACTAAAAGCCTTAATGTAAACCATTTTTCTCACGTCGGCCATTTTTCAACAAAATAAAAGCACTTTTAATTTATTGTAATTGCTGCAGCCATCCTCGGTACGCGAGTTGATAAATTCGAGAGCTAAAAGCCACCCCTGCGTCTTAATACTAATTCTCTCTATTGTGTAATTGCACCTTCGGAATATTTCTCAACCCTTGCGCCGCTGCTTAGACTTGCTAATATTGGGACAAATTGGCGGAGGGGCGGCGACTGTGCGCGATAAGACGAGACAACACGAAATGTGTGCGGAATACTGAACAGCCCTTCCAGCTGCACCCAAGAAAGGAGAGAAATGCACGCGCCAGTAATAAAGCACCCTTTCTTTCTATCTTTGGAGCGAGAGAGAGAAAAAGCGCTTTTCTGCCTGACCGACTCGTCTCTTGTATCGGCAATTAGTGCCGAGACGAGATCGATCGAGGGCCCATTTTCAGTTGAAGGACTTGTTGAACGCCTCATCTCTTCACTCTGCTACTTTTCCAATAATATACCTCTCGAGCTCACGCACTATGTCAATTTGACTCAGAGACTGGTTTAAACGCTCTTTTTTCACACAAATTTGTTTTTTCCGAGGGAATCTTAATTAAATTTTAAACTTCAGCATTGTAACGAAAGGAACTAATTAAATTACATCAATTAGTAACAGCAAAGTAAGTTTTACATAAAATATAATTAAAAAAAAAAATAATTTTGTAGTAGAAGTTCACGATCGAGGGTTGATTCAATCCACACAAAAAAAAAAAAGTTAATTTGAAGGAAAAATTGGAGCTCCGTGTAATGAAATTGGAATCAGGTCTCTTAAATTGTCAAAATGAGTGAGTTGAATTAAAAGAATATTCAAGCTTTGAACGATTTAAAAATGAAGTGAGATTATTTAATTTTAGCGCGCATTATTATTTAAAATTGTGTATAAATCCCTTTAGTCAAGATTTATCAACAAATTTTAAAAGTTTATCAATAAACATTGATTGTTTTAACTGCTGCAAGTTTTCAGAAAAGTCATTTGGTGTGCAAAGTTAATATAAAATTTCCGTTGGCCGCCATCTTTGTTTAAATGGCGGACGGAAAGAAATTTAAAATCGTTGTAACTTGCTAACTTACTAACCAAAAGTATCAAAATATTTGACAAAATATTTCCTTTATTTAAAATGTGAATATCATCACAATATTTAAAATTAAATTGATATAAATAATTTAAAATTATTAATCAAATAAAAAAGAAATAATGCCTGTTGAAAAATCTTATCAAAATCATGCATTTCAATTTGGAATGCACTATTTTCACCCGCATTATTTTAGTAAAATTTGTATGATACAAATTGAATCCATAATTTTACATTATATATATTAATATTAAGGCAACACGCGGCAGGAGCTTATAATAAATAATTAAAACTGTATATTAATTTTTTTTCAATTTAAATATTATTAATATACATATTATCTGTGGTGTAATTAAAAATTATTTACTTGTGTAATTGTAATAAATTCCAAATACTACTAAGAACAAACAAAATAAAAATTAGCTTTAAAAATTTGTTCTCATTGTAAATTTAATTATTTTGTACAAGATTTATATTAAAAGCTTTATGTTTTACGAATTAATAAAATATAAATTATAGAATTTTCTAATTATTTATAGTGTGCGTTTTAAATTAAATTATTATAGAATATTAA